CTTTCTGTGACAAGCTGTTAATGTAACCCTAAGCCTCCTCGAGTGAAGGAAGATAAAGGAAATGCCTTGGAGACCGATATTCAGCTGCCTCTAAGATGGAGTCGGCTCTCAGCCTCCCACCGGCCGAGAGCCACATATTCCCCACACACCGGAAAGTGATTCTTAAGTCAGGTTATGGAAGAATGACAGGAATAAAACTCCTCCCTTCCCAACAAACTCCTCTTTTCCCAACAAACTGCTTCCTGTGAGTCCCTTACCTCCACCCTCTTCCATCATTCTTACCAAGGTGTCTCTACTACAAGGAAGAATATTTACCTCAGAAATTTGGCTTGCCTGGAAAACTATGCTTTCCTTAGGATGGTAAAGATTAATTTAATGCAGTGATAGGAAAACCAGGACCATGTGTAACTGTTGCCTGGTAGGTTAAGAATATCAGTTTGGAATTAGGCTTCTTGGATTTGAAACTGAGCTCTCTCTACCTCTTGGTAACTGTGAATTTGTACAACTTAACTAACTTCTCACTTGCCTCAGTTTTTTAAAAGTTGTATATTTGAGATAGCAACAACGCACATGATATGTTTGCTGTTGGGATCGAGTGAGTTAGTGTATGAAAGGAGTTAATATTATTGGGATGGTAGTTAATCATTATAGCCACCCCTGTCAGCATCATGGGCACCATCATCATTTTCATCACCATCTTGTAAAATGCGGCCCACTTAAATACTAGCTTAGGATCTAACAGAGGTAAAGTAACCAGTTGACTCTCTCAATAACATGGTGTCCAGACCTCACCATGGCTTTTTTGTGAAGAAAATTGCCGTGGTCTGAATGTTTTTGTCCTCCAAAGTTCTTTGAAATCCTAATCCCCAATATGATAGTATTAGAAGGTGAGACTTTTGGGAGCTGATTAGGTCACGAGGGGGAAGCGGGACCTCAGAGAATGTTCCACTCTCTTTCTGCTATGTATGGACACAGCAAGAAAATGGCTATGAACCAGAAGGTGGGCCCTCACCAAATTCCAATCTTGCAGTGCTTTTATTTCAAACTTCCCAGCTTGCAGAACTGGGAAAAATAAATATTTGTTGCTTAAACCATCCAATCTGTGGTACTTGGTTATAGTTGTCCCAACTGACTAAGACACCTAGAAAGGAGAAATTCTGTATTTTTGTTCCTTCCACCTCTGTTTTGAGATTTGTAAGGCTCTTTCCATTGTCATGGAAATCTTCTAGACAGTTGTACAACTTGACTAAATGACTGTGGAGTAACATCTACTATTCAATTCTTATGCAGAATTGAAAAAAAAAGATCTAGTGAAAAATTATGAATTAGAAGTGGACCTAAATATACATGAAAGTGAGAGAGAGAGACAGAGAGAGATCAGAATAAAATAAATATAAAAATATTCTCTAAATCGAATCCTAAGCAAAATAATACTTCCATGTTGCAAGACTGGCTTGCAGATTTTATCAGGAAAGGGCTTTGGCTTCCAGTTTCTCAGGTCACCTTTGTCCCTCAGGCCACAAGGCCCGCAGTGTGGCACTGTACTTCTGCTGAGTCACATCTGCTGTGCGGGATTTGCTCTCTGTAGACTGCCACACAATGTATGGGTTTTATAGGTGGCATCACCTGGTGCCTGCTCTGTGGGCTTCCCAGATAGCCTGCAGCATTCACACAGTCTCTGAGGGTTTCTGTAAGGTTTGCAGCCTGTTAAAGTAGAAAACTTTCTAGCTGATTAAAAACAAATTCTAAACCCAGCGTCCACAACTGTTTGTTTCACAAAAGCAGTAACCATGGAAAATACCACAAACAAAACAGAAATAGTCTTTGCTCTATCGTGGACACGTGACTCTGGGCATGCAGGGGCTGCTCTCGCCTTTCAACACTTCCACCTTCTTGCCTGAAAACCAAGCTCACCCAGAGGATCCCAAACGGACTTGAATTTGTTTGTGTGTGTGTTCTTTTTTTATTTTAATTAAAAATTTCATAGCCAGTACTCCCAAATAATCCTTTCTGACTCTTATCTGGACTTTGCCTGGTATCCTGCTCCTGTCTTGACCCACTTTCTCCAAGAACGGAAGCTGTCCTTTCCTCAGGACCATTCATGCACTTTCTCTCTCTCTCAGTCTGTATTCAGAAAGGCCAGGATTTTACTGTCTCCTGTAGCCCACAGGGAGACACAGTTTAAGGCATTGTTAATTCTCAGATTACAGCCATCACAGAACTTGCCTCTTTTGCTTATCTTTGCTGAGTGACTGATTCCCTCAGACCTTCTAGATGAAGAGATGACAGCTACTTTCTAATAATATATAGATATAGTTTATGTTCATGTACTAGACATCCACAAATCTATTTGTTTACCAGAGCCAAAGAGCTAGTGTCTATAAGTTTGAAGATGATCACACATGCATGATTTCACAGCAGATCTGGTTTCTTTGTTCATGTAATCAAGAAAATACTTGCTAACATTTGGGGGCTGAAGCTCTGTGATTCTGTGAAGTCAGCACTAATAGACCCCTTGTACAGATGACAAAACTGAGGCCCATAGAGTTTAAGCAACTTAGTGAAGTAAACACATTAGCGTGGTGGAGTTTCATGCCTAGCAACCCCCACAGGATCCATTGGCATAAGAGGGCCAGTTGCTTGCCCTTGTGTGAAAGGCCAAATTTAGATATTTGATATGATCTCCATAAGAGATTATGTAGTCATAGAAACCACCAAAGAAATTGAAAAATACCTGTCATACAACTTAGACCACACTGTCCTCAGTATGGAGATATATATATATATATATATATATATATATATATATATATGATACACACACACTGTAATCTTCTTTGTCCTGTGGAGAATATTATGTCAAGTTTCATTTTCATATACATTATTGTCCTTAAGTTAGGTAAATATAAGTATTTAAAACACATCCTAAATTCCTATTTTGATACTTCATTTTGCAATCTCAAAGATGAAATTGGTCTGGTTGGTCTTTACATTGGACTGGACTCTGAGCACAAAACCAAAGTATTGGGAGGGGAACTTAGGAGGTAACTTGTCTGATTGCTTCATGTCATATGTAGGAAATGGAGGCATAGGAACACTGAGTCACACAGCCAGGTGCCCTCCTAGTGGCAGACAGAGTCATGTGTTCTGTCCTGCAGTGGCTGCTGATACTGCCAAGCAAGAAGAAGGGGAGGAGCACTTGTATCCATGAGCAAAGGTACTGCAACATCCTACAGGGCATGACACACTTGTTACAAGACCAGTGACTGCTCCCGACATAGTCTTGTTTTGCATACATGAGAAAATACATTTCACATTTCAATGGCTTGTTGGAACGGGAACTCAATATTGAGTCTCACAACAAACCTGGGAGGGAGGATGTGCAGGTGTGGCTATTTCTGGCTTTCAAAGGGGGAAACAAAACTGAAGCCATGTCACACATCCTTCCCAAGGCATCACGGCGAGGTGGTAGCAGAGTTGTTCCTCTAATTTAGGACTCCTGGCTTGGCACCCTGTGTTGAACCACACTGCTCTCCTGTACTCAATTTGACTTACAGGAATCACAGCCAAGAGCAGTACAAGCATTTTTGTTCTCATGATGCTATTCATAAACCTGCTGCATTCTCAAACCTGCTGCAATTTCCCTTAAAGAACTTTTTCTTTGTGTGATCATTACATAGGTGGCAAAGAGAATTAGATCTTCTAAATTATATCCATAAACTCTATTTCAATAAAGATATTAAGCATTCCAACATTCTTAAGCTATTTCCCTTTCAGTGATGAAGTGTAAGGTATATTTAAATGAAGTTTAGTCTGGAAAATCAGCATATTGCAATTAAAAGTGCAGTCCTTGTAGTCTTGTAATTCTTTGTATAAAGCCCTTTTACAGAAGAGGGTATTTTAATTCAATAAATAAAAGATGGGCCCTTGCAACTCTCCTACCGGTATAGCCCCCACTTGTAGCTAATACACACAGAAGAAAACACAAACAAACATTGTTTGATCTTGGCTTGCTCTAGGGCGTTCCATCTTTCAAGAGACCAAGGGAAAAACAACCTCAGAAATTTACCACCAAAACTTCCAAATTTATTGCAACACAACGTAATGCAAAATACTATTTTCTTAGCAGATACATTTTTGGACAACCACCATGGCCAAGAATGCCTGGTTTTATTTTTACAATAAACCCCAAGAAAATGTTGACTGCTACTCTTGGTTTGGGGATGGCAAAGATGCTGTGGGTTGTTTGGAGCAAAAGATCACATCTAATTATTCATTCTTATCCTGTTTGATTAACTTGTGCTTGAGGCATTTACTTCATGTTTATACTGGTTTGACACAGATCGTGCTTAAAAGAGATTTTTGTATCCTGTTTTCCTGTGCAAAGTTGAGCTACAATGCTAGTCCCTTCTTGGACTTCTCAGTAACAGAAGTGTTCAGCCTAGAAACTCTTCTAGAGTAAACATGACACAGAATTGCACATCTAGCCACATTCCACTGAGATCTGCCTAAATAGAGAGGAGTGAAGGCTCACATTCAATAATTTCTCTTTTAATTTAGGGTAAATGTGCCCATTTCTCATACTGCTTTTTCATACACTGTTATAACTTGCTATACTGCCATTGCAGTCCATATAGGAAGCAAAGTAGAAAAAAGGCAAGAAAGACGTAAATCACTTTAAAGTTTCACACAAATGTTATACTTTTCAACTTAACCATATTTGGTTGGCTTAAAGAAACAGTGAAAACCTTGTCCTAATATTAATATTTTAGTATAGTTTATGTATAACCTGTATTATTTACAACATATATGTATAAATAATAGTAGCTGTTTATAAGGAAGCCGACTGCCACCAACTCCCATCCCAACTCTCTTGAAACTTAAAGACTGATTACTTAAAGTATGTATTCTAGTTTCTTAATGGCAAATACATTTCAATGCTTTTATAGTAATGAATGGAAAACAACTATATGCATAGCTTAGTAACTCATCAGACATACCTTGTTTGAAGAAAGCAATTTTTTTCAAAAATTTTCCACCACACAGAATGGATATTCTTTTTTCTTTAAACTTTTCTGCATCACAAATCCCATCCAAATTATTCTAAAGAAGAAACAAGAGTTCCCAGAACCTTTTCTCTTCTTCTCAGAGGAGCTAAGCAAACATTTTCATCCACCTCCCAGCCCTTTGAGAAGCTCATTTTGTACAACACACACACACACACACACACACACACACACATACACACACACACACGCACACAGCTTCTCACACTGGCTTTAGTGCTGAATTAGGCGGTCCTCTTTCAAATTTCCACTCCCACTTGCTTTTTTTGGGAAAGGACTTCTAAATATTCCTTTCTAACCCAAAGCACACATTTTTTTCAGTAAGCAATTTCTGCAATTAGATATTCTGAAAAGCAGAAGCACAGCAATTAGATAGGAATAAGAGTATTAATATACTTTAAAAACTACTTAAGCAGGGACAATTAATTTTTTCTTTCTGTTTCAAATACTAGTGAACAGCTGAATTAAACTGCAGAAAAAGCCTATGCAAATATTGTAAGCTTATTCTACTGGACTCTCATTTTTGCATTGAAAATATTTACTTTTTCTACATGTGGATGCCATCTTTTTGTTTGGCTTTGTTTCAGTCCTTTCTGCATTTTGGCAAACCTCATCAAATGATTGAGGTATTTGCTGCTGGTAACAGGACACACGGTAATAGCAGTGGGAAGCAAAACCTGACTCATGTTTCAAAAAAAAAACTACCGATGGGTACTTCACATCATCAGTGAATTCTGCCCATGTTTGTTTTTTTATATATTAATGTAGACAATTAAAGTGAAGAGATTCAGACCCTCAACGTGCATTAACATAGCCCACCACTTAAAAAAGCAGGCCCCCAAACAAGTCTGGCAGCCCCTTAGGATCCCGGGGCTTATCAGAGTGGCCGAGTATCTATTCCCTCCGCAGCAGGGCAATAGGTACAAAGAGCCAGTTCCTCCTCCTGCTGGGCAGTGTGCACTCCCGCAGCCTGGGAATAGAACTTCCCCATCTAGCTCCGCCCACCCGTGTCCGCTGGCTCTGGGATTGTCCCTCCTTTAAGATTACTGTTGTAGTGCAGTTAGACCTTTCCTTTTTCCCTCCCTGGTTCGGCACTGAAATTATTTTTCAATCTTGTTTGTTCCTCTATGAAATCTCAACACTAGGTCCATGGGTAATAAGGACAGTGCTGGCCCATGGAAGGTCAGCTGTCTCACCATGTATGTTGGGGCAGGTTGAGCTGAAATGGCAGCTAAGCATAGTAAATTATAATATTACTAATTATAAGAATGCTAGTTGGTATATATCATTTATTGGGAATGGTGATTGTCCTTTACATATATGAGCTCATATAATATTTAGAAGATTCTAGAAGAGTCAGAACTCTTGTCTCTATTCTATGGGTAAGAGGATCAGAGCTCAGAGACAGTAAGGAATTTTCCTAAGGTTACCCAGCGAGTGAAGCAAGATCTAGGATTCAAATTTGACTTTGCCTGAATCCAAGCAATGGTGCTATATTAGTACTTAGAGCTTCTTTTCTTTTACTAGTTTAATTTGCTTTCTTATGGTGAACAATAAAAAAATGAAATGTAAATATTTAAAAGCATATGAAGAAATGCTCAAAGAATATACAAATTCAAAGCAATAGTGTTTGGAGTAGGGCCAGGGATTTAGCTCAGTGGCACCATGCCTGTCTCACAAGTGCAAGGTCCTGAGTTTGATTCCTGGTACCAAAAAAAAAAAAAAAAAAAGTGTTTGGAGTGATAAACATTTTTAGAAATAGTGATAGCTGCACAATGTTATGAATGTAATACTACTGAATTACACACTTAAAAGGCAAATTTTATGTTCCATATTTTACAGCAACAAAATAGTAGAAAAAGAGAATTTCCCTTAAAAAGCAGTTAAATATTCCTTTATTTGAATTAGATTGGTGAAAATTGGAACTCTAGAGTCCATGGCAGGCATGTGCTGGCCTTTTGGTTTGCTGGTGGTGGACAAATGTGATTATTCTAGAGAGAAATCCCAAAGTGCTTGGTTGAATTACATGGATGCTCTAGCACCCGCTAAACTCTCTGGGGGTATTCCCCAGTGAACGTATTCCCTCACACAGGGCCCTGAAGTCTATCTCCGAGCATCATAAACTCAGTCTGAGAGATCCCCAGGGTGAAACACTCCACAGCAGCCAGAAGCCATCCTAGTCTTCCTTGGGACCCCCGTGTGGTACCTGCATACACTTTCCTCCACTCTGCTATAAGGTCACCTCTGGAGCAAGACCTTTCCTGGCCACCCTGCTTCAAATGGCATCCCCAACCCAAGCACTTCCTCCTCCTCTTCTCTGCTTCATTTTTTTCCAGAGGACATATTACTGTTTATTAATATTTCCTACTTGACTTTTAAAATTCTGCACCCCCTCCACTAAAATAAATATAGGCTCAGGCAGGCTGGAGTCTTTAATGTTTTATTCAAGAGTGCATTCTTAGCTCTTGGAACCAACACATAGTAGGCATACAGTAAGTAGGAACTAAATGCAGTTAGAAATATGCGTACACCAGAACAGCTGCCTATAGGAATTGGGAGTGGAGAATAAGGACATGTGGAATAAAAAACATTCAAGAAAAGGTCTTGGAGCCTTGTGTGAGCCACACCAATGGGGCTGGGTGTCTGGCAGCAGCAGCACCTATAGCCAAAGCACTCAAGCTTGTGGCCTCGAGGAAGTCTTTTAACTTTTTAGAGTAAAACAAGATCGTAATTTCCTGGTGAGCAGTCTTGAGCTGGCATAAACTGAAGTAGATTATTTCTAGTTGAGAACAAAAATTGTCATGTTCAACTTTCCCAGCTATTGCTACTTGAAATTGTTTTGCTTATAAATCACCCATGGTGGCTTGAAAGCATCCATTTTTTCCCAAATAACTGTTTGTCACTACATAAGCTTAGTGTCCTAGGCTGGTATTGTGTCCAGTACAAAAACTCAAATCTCTTTGAGAACATTCTCTATTAAAACTTTTTATTATTGTCATAAACACTGAACTTGATGGTTCTTTAAAATATAGCCTCATTTTTTTTTTGTTTTCACTCCAGAGACAGAATGTGGGGAAATCAATGTGTTTCTCATATCACAAATCCATTCTTTTATGTGACTTTTAAAAACGCAGGCTGGCAATTTAAGGTTCTAAATAATGAGGCAGCCTTTTCAGACACTCTTGATAGTTTTATTGTGTGCAGGTATAAAACTCGAGAGTTACACCTTCATAACATGAGCTCCCTGAAATGTCTCAGGCTAGATGGTGTTTGATGGTACATCAATTTTTCATGGAAATATGATTTGGCTTGAACTCCTCTACAACTGTTTTGAGACTCTTTTTTCCCCTATACTTTGGTAGGAGCTTATTGCAATGATCAGATATAATTTCAGTTTTCTGGACACTGCTGAGCAGTGTTGCTAAATACACACATTTTGTGTAATGTCAGTGTGAATGGAAAATTCGCCAACCTAATTAGCCTTTGTTAAATTAACATTGTCACTACCTGTCAGAGGCAAAGAAAGTATTACAAGAAAAATATAGCTTTCCAAAAATTGAAGGAGCCAAATGGGGAAGATGAGTAACTTACAAATGGTAGTCAAAAGAGATTTTGCTAAGCAATGTAAAAGAGCTTCCAAAACTACAAGGAAGAGGTTCTTAAGAATACATCAGAGGTAAAAAGTGGATTAAATAGACATTAAATATGATAAAAAATAAACTCAAGAGGAAAGGAGATGGTTGACCAATAGGATTCATCTTCTTCCTTAGGTTATTAAAAAGTGTTGTAAGGATTATTCTTCCCAAATGCTTCCCTGAAACACATGAGCTAGAACCATTATATCAAGTGTTGGACAGCACCCACAATATTCTGGGCCAAAATGACAAAATATAAACATAGATAAGTCACTGTGATTGTCATTGTGCAATCAATAGCACAAAATAGATTAAAGGACCTAAAGGAGGATACTAGGAACTGGAGCCTGTCTCACAGGGCCTAGCATTCCAGAGGGCTGCTGAGCTAGCAGGTTAGCAAAATACAAAAGTACCTTGTACAAAACAAGGGTTCAAAATGGTGGCCAGGAGATTAGAGGCCTTATATCTCCCTTTATGCAAAATAAGCACATGGAGTCTAAAATAAAAGATTGGCTCACAGAACACTGGTCAGCTGGGCCTCTGCTGATCTAAGCTGTGCCAAGGAGCCTACAACTTGCTGTAGGTCTATGCATTGGCTGGGGAATCTCTACATGTGTTTATTGTGGTGTCCATGTTACAGGGACAGCAGCTACACAAGAGGAGCTCTTCTCATGGCAAGAGGGCAACAGAAAATATGTGAGGTTTCTTCTAATTGGCACACTGACATTCCTGGCCAGTTTGCTTTGGCCAAAGGCCAAAGGCCAAGGTAAAGCGGCAGAGACCTAGATTGCTCAGAAAAGGCTATGGAAAGTGTGTGGAAGAATGAAGAATCAGAGCCAATGATTTGGTCTCCTGTGCCACTCCCTTACTTTCAGCCTTATTTTTGTTGTGTATTTTTTCAATTTTTTTTTTTTTTTTTTTTTTTTAGTACGTGTTTGCAGTACATAATGGTTACATTCCTCATAGGGCATTGATCCATGTACACAACACATCCACATCTTAATCCTTTTTTAATCTCCTTCCCTTCCCCTTTCTACCACCTTCCTCCATCTGTGGTCCCTTTTCCTTTTGCAAAAGATCTATCTTCCTATTTATTATTGTCTATTTTTTATTTTGCTCTGTATCCATATTTTCATTTCTCATAGAAGAGAAACTATGAAATATTTAAACTTGTGTGTCCGATTTATTTCACTTAACATTATGGTCTCAAAGTGCATTCATTTTCCTCCAAATGACTCAAGTTTACCCCTCTTTGTGGCAGAGCAGTACTCTACAAATATTACATTTTCTTTGTCCATTCACCTGTTGATGGACGTATAGGTCACTTCCAAGATTTAGCTATTATGAATTGTGCTGCATAAACATAAGTATGCACATATCACTGTAATATGATGTCTTTAATTCTTTCCAGCAGATACTTAGAAGGAGAATACCTGGGCCAAATGGAATTTCTAGTTTTAGTTTTTAGAGGAATCTGCATAATGACATCCATAATGGTTGTTCCAACAATGTAGAAGGGTTCCTTTT